TCATATTTTGGCTCTCGTGGACTTGTTTTCATTTTCTTCAGTTTCAGTTTGAATTTGCATATCAGTAATTGATGGTCTGTTCCACAGTCTGCTCCTAGGGTTCTCCAGTGTAAATTTGCTATTTTATCTTTATTACTAAAAAATTGGCATGTGGAAATACTTTCAGAGTAGACCAATGTTCTGTATCTCACCTTTTCACCCACTATATTTGGACGTCAACTGAGGATTATTGTTGCTAGGTACCATCGAGTCATTACCAATTCAAAGTGACCCTACACACAACTGAAGAAAACACTTCCCAGTCCTGAGCAGTATCAACTGAGGATACCTGCCTACAATAATTAAATTATTACTATAGTGTTTGACAAGTGGAAATTTTCTACATCCATTATTTCATCTACATTTTTTCATTGATATTTTACTGTAAGGATAATTACCCTTTTATAAACATATATACACCATAGATATCTTTTTGTAAATGTCTGATCAAATATGAAATCAAAAGAATGCATTTAAAATACGGAGATTCTCAAATATTAAAGTAACAAAGATCAAAGAGAACTGAAGAAAATGTTCAAAAATATGGCATGATTTTTCTCATTCATTTGTTATCCTGTCATTTATTTTCCTCTGAAGAGTTTATGACACTGTTACAAGAAAGGCCATCCATGCTGTTTTCCATGCTGTCTTGATAGCAATTAAAGAAGTTAGTAAACTACATTATGGTAGCTGGCTAGCTTTAAATTTTGTTACAAAATGTCCAAATAACAATACAAAGCAAATTAAATTCAACCTGATGATCCCGCTCCTTACCCACATCATCCCTACAATTATGGTGGTGGTCGTGTGCCGTCAAATTGGTTCTGATTTAGAGCGACCCTATATAGGGTTCTGAGGCAGTAAATATTTATGGGAGCAGAAAGCCTCCTCTTTCTCCCACAGAGCAGCTGGTGGATTCAAACTGCTGACTCTCTGGTTATGCAAAATATAAATATCTACAATATTTATAAATTATTAAAACTCTGTGGCACTGTAGGAAAAGCACTAGACTGCTAAGTGCAAGGTCAGTGATTCAAACCCACCAGGCACCTTTCAGAAACCCTATACAGGGTCTCTAAGAGTCAGAACTGATTCAACAGCATTTAACAACAAAAACATATAAATTACTGAGTGCCAAATACAAATTATCTCAGTTAATCCCCAAACAACTCTTAAAAATAGTTTGTTGTTTTTGTTGTTAAGTGCCATTGAGTTGGCCCCAGCTCATAGTGACCCTCTATAGGGTTTTCAAGGCCAGGAATCTTTACAGGAGCGGAAAGCCTCATCTTCCTCCTCACTGTCTGCAGTGTATCACAGATCCTCTAGAGCCACTATCACATTCATTTTAAAGGCTCAGGTTTGAGAAGCAAACAGTCACTATTTTTGTGACTACTAAAACACACAGTTAAATAAGCTTCAGACTAAATTCAAACCAGGTCTATGTGACTATGTTGTTGTTGTTAAGTGTCATCAAGTCAGTTTTGACTCAGCAACCCTGTATGAGGTTTCTGAGGAGTGGCTGGTGGGTTTGCGGTTAGCAGTCCAATTCTTTAAGTTTTGCAGGAAAATGTTTCAAGGAATTTTAAACAATAAACTTGATAATCAGCTTACTATTTAATTTTAAAAACTTGGAATGGTCTGGGAGTTAATATTCATTCCTGAAATGTTTCTACTTTGCTATCAAGAATTACATAATTTGGAGACCAGTATCTGTATATCTCTCTTAGGGATTAGATACTTTCTGACCCTTTATTCAAAATAGGAATGTAAAATTTTAAAAATGGAAAGCAAAGTTGATACTAAAATAAAATTTAAAAGAAAAATGAAACAGGAAAAAGTGCTTATCCTATTCCCACAAAATATTGATACTTATTCAAAATTCAGAAACTATAGAAAAAGCATCTATTTTTCATAATAAACAAAATAAGTACTTACAATTCAGAAGTGGTTGCATACAAGAAATGTCAGACAAAAGAAAACTACTTTTTGGTGGGAGCAAGTATTTCTGTCCCATTAAAGTAATCATTTTTGTGAAGCTAGAGCTGTTTTCAACAATCCGTGAAAATAAATCCTGCTCTGTAACAGACATATCATCTTCCATCAATTGTAATGTCTGAAGTTCCATGTCATTCAGAGAAGGCAAATGCTTCGCCATTTCACATAATTCTGATAAATTACAAGTATCAAGTGGTAAAGTCATATGTTCACTACACTTCTCCCGTTTTTCAGAAAGTGGGTAAAGAAAACCACTTTTGAGACCCTCTTGAACTAACTGTGAAGATCCATCCAAAATCAGCCTCCTGACCTATAAGAGAATTTTTTAAAAACAAATTAAAAGGACATTGATACTGAAACAACGTTCTAAATAAAAACATTCTAACAATGCTTTAAATATTTTACTTTAAATGAATTCAACAATCTTAATGCCTATAATAAAATGATTTTATACTAGAATAAAAAGAATGCTAGCATACCTATGAACTGCTGTTTCCTAACTGTAGAATGAAACCAACCTCACAAATGTATCAACAATCAAATAATCAAATAATATATGAGGGGGCTTTAAAAGTTTACGGAAAAATTCTGCTATCTTTTTCCAAGAACTTTTTTGGAGCCCTGATGTATATGGGAAAATTTTTAAATTTTATAAAATAAACTTGGTAGTCTGAATGGTGCAATAAGAAAATGTAATTTCTAAGTTATGAATAGAGTTCATTTTAAATCACAATATTTAAAATAAGCTATTTTTAAAGGCCTAATTGTTAAATGGATTGTTCATTGTTAAATGGAGTCCTAGTGTGGCACTGTAGGATAAGCACTGGAATGGGAACCACAAGGTCGGCAGTTCAAACCCAACAGTCACGCTCTGGAAATCCCATACAGAGTTGCTCTGAGTCAGAAATGACTTGATGACACTTAACAACAACTGTTAAATCAGGAGACCTGCTGGTGCAATGGGCAAGTACTTGGCTGCTAACCAAAAGGTTGGGGTTCAAACCCACCCAGTGACTCTAGAGCAGAAAGACCTGGCAATATGCTCCCATAAGAACTGGAGTGTAGAAAATCCAGCAGGGGACTTCTACCATCACAACAGGTTGCTAGAAAGCAGATCGACTTGACAGCACCTACTAACCTGGTGTGGTGCTCTAGATAAGCACTGGAATGCTAACCCAAAGGTCAGCAGTTCAAACCGAGTCGCTCCTCAGAAGCCCTATACAGGATCACAATGAGGTGGAACCAACTCGACAGCAATTAACAACACAAATTGTAAACTAAACATACTTTGAATTTAAAAAACATAACAGCTTGATTTGTTTAAAAAGAGACAGAGAGAAACATAACGCTGTTAAATGAACATATAAAGTTTTACAAAAATTCAATTGCCGTAATTAACAAACTAAATGTCTGAGTTCCAGCTTTGGACAATGTATAGTACCATGGATCAAGAAGTACCCTTCTGGGAAGTTAGGGAAAAACAGCAATGAAGCTGCGAGCTAAGCCCTACAATGTTCAATAGACCCTTGCGAACTGGTGGAGACCTGGTCGGCCAGCAGTGTGGCAAGACCTGGGGACTCTTGGGCCCAGAGTCAGTGACATAGCCACAGAGGACTAGAGCGGAGAGTGAAGCATCCAGCTGATAAGAAGAGAGGGCATATGCACAAGACCACCCACACTTGCAGACAATACCCACTTGATCTGGCTTCAATGACTGGATGATCAGAGCTCAACTAGAAGAAGAAAGAAGAGGGAAAAAAAAGAGTAATCTGATACAATTTGATGAACTTGACCTACACCTATGGATGCAGTAGCTCAAAAGAGGGAA